AGAGCTCTTTTAAAAGAGCCTCCATATTTGATCCGTAGCACAAATACATAAGTAGACATATACATACACACATGCATGGATGTGTACAGTCATGCTTTCACTCAGTGTTGGACACAGCAGGTTGAAGGAGGAAGGACCAGGCCAGCTGCTGGTGCCTTGATCTTGGGCTTCCCAGCATCCAAATGAGAAATAAATTTTTGCTCTTCATGAATTACTAGTCTCAGGTATTTTGGGATAGCAGTGCAAAGGAGAATAAGATACATAGTCACTCAACACACTTTCTAAGTCCCCTTGCTGTAGGTTGTGGCCGATCAGCAAGGAGGAAGGAAGAAGTAGGTGTGGTTTCTATGCTTTGTCCCTCCTCACCGCTGGTTCCCTTCTCACCCGCTGGACACCTTACAATGGCACACACTTGGCAATTTCAAGTTATCTCCCAAGCACTGCTGAGATATTTTTACCTTCTGTTGTCACGCTTTTAAATTCCAAGAAACCCCTTTTGTTCGTTTTAATCTTCTCTATCTCTTTTAAGTCTTCTGTCCCTGAGAATGTTAATTGTAACCAATGACCATTGTCTCTCAAAGTTTTCCAGAAGTTCCTGCTAGATACATTTGGAATTTTTAAAAATGTTATCTTTCTAAAGCCCCGTATTTTTTTGTTTTGTTTTGTTTTTTGACATTTGGATGGTGTGCTGCCCCTGTGGCTGTGTCATCAGTTACTTAGCAGCTTACAACAGTCCTCTTTATCACCTCTCGGTTCTGAGGGTAAGAAGATTGGCATGGGTCCTTTGCCAGGGCCCCCACGGTGTCTGCCAGGCTAGGCTGAGCCAGGAGTTCTGCATAAAATTCGCTCCCAAGTTCAGCCAGAAGCTGAGTGTGTGAGGTCCCCGTGTCCCTGCTGGCTGCTAGCGGAGGATCCCATGTTCCCTGCTGCTCAGAACAGCTGGGAGAAGGCGAGCATGCTGGACCTTAATCCATCTGGGGATCTCTGTTTCCTCTCCTCGGCAGCCAGAGAAAGCTCTGCCCTTAAGGAGCTCACAGTCCAGACTCACCAACTCAGGAGCCCTCTGATGAACTCAGACCTAGCTGATTAGCTGTCTGAATTACAGTTGCTAAATCTCTTTCACCATGCCTATGGTGTAGTCACAGCTGCCACCTCTCCTGTACTCGGTCCTAGGAACGAGGGCAGCACACCCGGTGGGCCACTTAAAACTCTACTCACCGCATCTCATAAAGCCACTTACCACCCGGCTCCAAAGCATCCACTCTTGTCTTAGTCAGTTTGGGCTGCTGTAACAAGTAGCACAGTGGGTGCTTAAACAAAGGGCACTTTTTCTTTACAGTTCTGAAGCCTGCTGGAGGTCGTGGTGTTGGTGTTTGGTTCCTGGGAAGGGCACTCTTCCCAGTTCACACCACATACCACTTTGGCCTGTGGAAGCCCTGATCCCATCTAGAAAGGGATGGAACTTCAGGACCGAATCACCATCCAGAGGGGCTCGTTTCCTAAGAGGGCCACACAGAAGGTTAGGCTTCTGCTGTGAACGGGAGACACAGACACTCAGCCCTCAGCAGGACTCCTCTGTAGTACTGCTCAACATTCCCTTCCCAGCGCACCATGCGTCCGCCCAGTCCCTATGCTGGCCTCTCCCCTGGAAGCCATCCTGCTCCGTCCATGTGAACCTGCTTCTGGTGTGACGTTACTTCCTCTGGAAATCCTTTCCAGCACCCAGAACACAGTCGGCACTTGCTCTGCATCAGGAGCCCACAACATCCTCAAAGCCACACTTACCCACCCTTTTGTTTCTAGAAGATAAGTTCCATGAGCCCCGCGTTATGGTTCCTATCTAGCTGTGCCCCAGTGGCCTCATATGCTGACAGGTGGGGCTTTTGGGAGGTGATTGAATCATGCTTGTATGACAGGACATTAGTGCACTAATGGCTTTACAGCTGGGTGTGATGTTGGGAGGTGAAGCCTGATTAGGAGAGATAAATCAAAGTGAGTGCACCTCCTCCCTCGATGCCTCTCTGCTTGCTACCTGCCATGCCCAGCTCTTTCTCCTCTGCCTTGGACCCAGCCAACCATGGACAGAAACCTCCACAAACTGTGAGCCAAAATAAAACTCTCCTCCTTAGCTTCTGGGTATTGGGTGTTTTGCACCAGCAACATGAAACTAACTAAAACAGACAGGAACTTTGGAAGGTGTTATTTGAATGAATGCATAGCAATTTCCAACTGATGTACTACTGGCAAACAAAGTGTATAATTACACCAGACCTCCATGAAGACATATAAAGCTTTGCCTCTCATTTGAATTCCAGATATTAACTCAGCAGCACTGGAGCTAGAATTCCAGGACCAATTTTCACCTATGTGACTTGAGCAAAATAAACTTCTGACTCCCTAGAGGGACAGTTTTATGCCTCAGGTCTCTCCTTCCATACTACAGAATAAACAAACGATGCAGGAGGGTGTTGGTTTTTAACATAAGACCTTAAATGCTATGACCTAAGTTACCATTCAAAATCCAAAACACTTCAAAGTATAGAGAAATCAGTACCAAAGCTTTTTTTTTTTCTGGTGATGTCTCCAACAGACAAATGAGCTGTGACTCAGTTTCCCTGTCTGAATAACAGGAAAGCTGGACCAGCTCCTTTCCCAGGTCTTTCCCTTCATGATAACCCTGACTTTTTCTTTTTTTTACCTGAGCCGAGAAAGCACTGCCCAAAGCACTGCTGCTGAACACACTAACAGCCATGATCTAATTTGGGTACAGCTGGCTCTCATCACTGAAAGCAATCTAATTGCTGGGTTCCAGTCTACAAAGGCCATGCTCCCAGAGGCTTCAGGGTCACAACCACAGCATTTAGACAGTGAGAAAGCCTCCATGACTCTTCTGTTGGTTGTTTGCTGCTCTGCTTCCTGGGACAGAAGAGCTGCATGACCCCATGAGCACACTGAGCCGTGTCTTTGTCCACCCTCCGTTCTGTGTGACTGGAGAAAATCTCCAGGCCAACTGAAGGCAGGTGCTGGCGTCACTGGTCACTTTTCCTTCAGCTTCTTAATAATCCAATTCGGACCACTATGTCTGTTTAAGGTAGGAATAACTCTAGCCATCATTCAGATGGGAATTAAATGAAGGACTGTCCCCACTCAGTTACTAACACACAATAAATAGCTGTTTTTAGTGGGCTATTTAAGATTTTTAGGACGAATGGGCTGATGGAAAGAAAAATTAGACAGCCATGTCAGACGTATTGAAAATGTTCCAGAATCTTATCTCAGAGATGTATACATGCCACACCCATCTCATGGCCATTGGTTCTGTTATCAGAGCTCTGCCCAACAGTCTCTGTGAGCTCACACTGCTGGGTTAGAGTTACACTCTTTGTCCTCAGGAGGAAGTGTCCCTCTCTCTAATGCATGTGATCTGCTGAGACAGGATAACACATAGGCAGTCACACTCCAAAGCCACAGGGTTACAGGAGAGGCTCCTCCACCCCTCTGCAGCACTGACTGACCCTGGGTGGGGCTCTGCAACGTAGCAGGCAGGACAGCTTCCTGGGGACTGGACCACAAAAGGTGGTAAGGAAGCTCTCTCCTCCTGTGGGTTGGGCACCTGGACTCCATGGTCTCTGCTACTGGGATTCCTGGTAATAGTAAAGTGTTAGAGGGGAGCATCCTTGGGGCCCTCTCTACCAATAGCTGGGCTTTCCCTTTGGTGGGTAGGGTCACCAGGCTCCTGGCCAAGTAGATGAACCAATAAGCTGCCTCTGTGATTACAGCTAGTTGAAGTTGTTTCTTTCTCTCACCATTAAAAATATCCCAGCTATGGCATATTTTTCTCAAATTCTGATATTTATATGAGGAGTTTAGTCTGGATCCTCATTTACTGATAATATCTGAAGAAAGTTTATTATATTGAAGTAACACCCAAGTATGGGTCCATGCAACATGGTAAGAGATTTTTAAAGGCTTTGTTGGAAAAATTAAAGTCCTAGAGACCCTGTGTGAGTCCCTCCAAATTCAGAGTCTCAGCAAAATACACTGTATTCCCATGTGGTTCGTGAAATTCCTTTCCCTCCTATCTGTCCTCATTGAAGAGGGGAAGGATGATCTTCATTTGTCTTTGAAGCAGCCATGTTGCCTTGGGGTAAAGCTCAGAGAAATGAATTCAAGTTCAAACCCCAAGCCTATATCACATCAGCAGGGTATGCTGGTCCTGAGTCCCCACCCTCCCATTCATCGTACCAAGACCCTAAAGGTTACTGCCCTTCCTCCTCCTCGCCTCTCCTGGGTGGCAGCATCCAGAAACTCCCTCCATTTATTGCCAGCCATTAGAGTTCCAGGTCTACTCCCCGGCCCATAAAATCCAGCTCTGTTCTTTCAAACTACAGGCTCATAAACGTGGCCATTTCTGAGAAGCCCTGCTGTATGTACTATGGAGCTATGGACCAAAGACACAAGCAAAGCGCTGTCAGTCTCTGGGGGGAGAGGATGGGTAGGTGGAAGCACAGTGCCACATGAGAATGAACGATGCAAAGACCTGGAGGACAAGGAAGGAATGGTCAGATGGGGAAGCTGTGCAGAGGAGATGACCCTTACAACTGAGCTGTGCTCCCCGGAGTTCCTAACCACCCAGGGCCTCAGCATGTGACAGTGTTCTGAGATGGGGCTTTATGACAGTGACTGAGGTTAACCAAGGTCCCGTGAATGTGCCTCCATCCAACACCGACTCATAAGCAGAGTGAGCATGAGAGCTCATTATGTGCTGAGAGAACCTTCTAGAAGGGAGGGAGTTCCAGGGATGCTGTGGGAAGGGCAGAGGTGATGGTGGGAACAGAGTCTGTGTCCACAGGAAGGGGAGAGGGGGAAGCAGACAAACAAGACTGCCTTTTTAGAGGACCAGGGACAGCCCCCATCTTGTCATGAAGAGAAAGTGAGACCAAGATTTTCTGGTCTGCTGTACCGTAAGAACTGTGAAAAACACACATTAAAGCCCAAAATAGTACTAATAATCTGCTTCAGCCTTTTATTTCCTTTGAATGACACTTTGACAGAGCAGGGATCCAATCTGTACTTGAAAGATGACATCATTAAGACTCCAAAAGTCCAATCAGATCAACTCACGAGCCTTGGTTTCTTAATCTTAAATGATAGAAAATATACCTGAGAGAACAAAATTCCAAAGGGTGCCCATCTCATGATGTCCTTGACTTAGGGTCCCCATCAGGAGCCCTGTAAAGACCTTGCAACCGTAAAGCACCACTGCATCGCTTCTAGATCCAAGGGAAACCAGAAGTCCTCACAGCTTACAAAGATTATCACATCGAGATTGTTCAGCGTAGTTTCCTACACATATAAAACCACAGCTCAATTTAAAAAATACTTCTCCTAACACAAAATAAATATAGAAAATATCAGTGTGAAAATAAAAAAACATGATCCGGTTTCAATTGCACACAGCTGATTTTTGGGGGGACGAACCAAGACTATCACGGATATTTACAACTCAAAAGTACCCGAGTGAAGAGCATGATCCTATGTCAACATTTTCATTAAAGATAAATACTATAGCGAACAAATCATAAATAAATATGTATGCCCACTCCCAAAAGTGTACCTAAGACTCTGAAAGATTCCCTTAGCATACAAGGAAATGACATTATTTAAATATCATTCCATGACATTTCATTTCATTTTCATTTCTTATCTTTTAGGAAAAGCAAAATTTGATGACAAAGACCTCCTGTTGGTGCCAATTTCCAGTGGTGTTGGATCTTTATGATGTCACATTTGCCCAAGTAAACGAGGTCAACCCCACAAGTATTTTCATACAGCAGGATATAACCACAGGTGTGACTACTTCCTTGGTTTTTCTTCTTTGGGGACTGAAGGGTGAGCCCTCTGTGCCAGCATTCCTGGCGTTTATGTCCCCAGCTGTCTGGGCACCATGCTGGCCACCTACACTCTGCACACGTGGGAACTGATCTCTCAGACTGGTGAAGGGGACAGGAGAGAGGATGGTGCAAATGACACGACCCAGTGTGGCTTAGTGAGACAGGCTTGGGGTTCGGGCCCAGCACCAAAACGCAAAAACTGGAAAGAAACGAGCCAGGTGTGGTGGCACAGCCCTGCTGTCCCAGCGCTCTGGGAGCCTGAAGCAGGAGGATCGCAAGCTGGAGCCCATCCTATCAAGTTCTTGTCTCAAGATTCAGAAATAAAAAAGGAGGGTGGGCTGGGGTGCAGCTTAGTGTACACGCCCTGGCTCCAAGCCCCAGTATTGAAACACACAAAGCAAAACAAAACAAAAAACCCATGCTAATGAAATCAATTTCCTTAATTCTATTTGCTCAGTTAGCTTTACCCACGCCAGACAAACATTCTACCACTGAGCGGCCACCCCAGTTCTTCTCTATCTATATTTAAAAGCAATTGATTGTGTCTGACAGGCAGTGAGTTTGTTTTGTTTTGTTTTGTTTTGGAGACAGCGCCTCACTACACAGTTCAGGCTGACACTGAACTCACGGCGGTCCTTCTGTCTCAGCCTCCCAAGTGCTGGCATCACAGGTGTGTGCCACTATTCCTGGCAAGTGTCTAGTTGCTAAATGGATGAAAAATGAGCATTTTGTTCAGATGCATCCCAGGGTGACTCTTTACCCTACACCAGAGAGGATGGCTCCGCTCTTCACCTCAGGGCTGATCTGAGGGCACCTGACAGTCCCATCGTGGGCCCTGAACTCCAAACACAGAAAAATGGAGAGAAACTCATGTTTCTGAATTTCCAGCACCCACAGCCACAAAACCTTCCCGTACGTTCTCCCACAGAGGACAGAGGAGCCTCTCCCATAGCAGAGGGCTTATCCTGAAGAGTTTATTCTAAATGTACCTGGCATGGTGCCTTTTCCTGAGGGCCGCAGACAGGTCTGGGCCACAGAGAACAAAAGCAAACAACTTTCAATCAGAGGCTTCAGGAAACAACATGGAAGGGACTTAGTGTCACTGCTGGCTGGCCACTGTCACAGATGGAAGCTGCGGTGCCGGTGTGGACAGCTCCTTGGGGACATCCCCAGAGGACCCAGGAGCTGACAGCAACTCCTTCCTCTCTGGCAGGCCCCTGAAGAGACACCCTGAGCAAGGCAGAAAGCCCCGGAAAATCGCAGCCTGGAAGTGCCTAACCTGCCACTCCACTATGACAAAAGCTGAAAATTAATTCTTAAAAACAAACAAACAAAAACACTTCCGGATGGGAGACACGGGGTAAAATGCAAACTTCATCTCATCTATTTTTAGCTCGATGCAGGGCAGCTGCAGGATTAAATCGGGCTGCTGAATAATTTCCTCTATCGAAGAGCCGTGGGCTCTTAGCACGTGACCTCAGGGCTGTCACTGCAGCCTGGCTTTTCTCTCACAACTGTGTCCTCAGGCCAAATGATGGAGAGGACTGTAACACAAAGCTTTTGCTGGTGGAAAACACACACCTGCTCCATAGATGTCGGATCTGATTCGCTTTATTTCAAGCGAATATGAAGTGTCTGAGCCTCTCCTTGGCGGGTGGGGAACCATTCCTGCAGGACCACTCTTTGTCCTGTAAGTGTGCAACTGCTCGAGCAAGGGGGAGGACCGAGGAGACCCTGCAATTGCCACCCTGAAGCCCTCAAAGGGACACACTGATGGCATCTGGAGGTAACCTAGGGAGGTGAATAGGCCCAACCAAGGTCATGAAGGCAATGTCCCTGTGTGTCATGAATGGTTCTATGAGAACAGGAAGAGAAACCCAGAGTGGCATGTGCCTGTGACCCTCTGGGAGACCCAGGAAGGAAAACACGAAGCTGGAGTCCAGCCTGGGCAGTCTGAGACTTAGCAAGACTCTGCCTCAAATTATAAAAAACATAAAAGGCTGGGATTGTTTCTAGAATCATGAGCCAAATAAACTTCTGTTCTTTATAGATTATTGTATTTGGTTATAGCAACAGAAAACTGACTAAGATGGGCTTTTGCCTCAGCTTCTCCAGTGGGTGCATTGCAGCCTGGGGTCCACGTCAGCCTTTTCTGGAGGCACTGCAAGGATCACCCTGCACGGTCCCTGTGAGGGCCAGAGAAGCCGGCTGCACCTCCCAGAGAGTGAGCTGAATCCACGCTCTGATCTGTGACCACTAGGGCTGCCACATGCTGAGTGTGTGCACACACGTGTGTGTAATGCACACCCAGGATCCCTTCCACTTACTTTGCTGGCTTAAGTTTAAAGCCTGAGAAAAAAATTTAATACATTACTTTTTAAAACCAAAGCAAGCCTGCAGATAATTTTTCTACACAAAAATAACCACCTTTGGGGGAACAAAAAACTGGCATGAAAATTAATTGATTTTGTCTGAAAACCCATTTCAGCTCTGTGCCAGCCCTTTGGAATAGCTGGAGCAGTCATGGGTGCCGAGTAGGAATTGGGCATTGCTGGGCTGATGGTCCACAGACAGCATGGCCACAGCAAGCTCTGTGAGCAGAAGTCACAGCAAAGCTTATTAAATAAGGCAGGACATGAGAAACTGCTGCTCCTGGCCACAGCACCCTCCTGCAGCCTGCAGCAAGGTGGCCTCCATGCTTGCTAGTCCCAGGCCAGGAAGCAGCGCTCCAGGGACCGGCACCTGGGGTCCAGCTACTCAGCTTCCCTGGTTCTCTCGGTGTCCTGATCTGACTTCTGGTTTAAACATCTGGAGGTGAACTGGGGGACAGATCGGAAGGTGGAATGACATTGCCTAGGGTCTGGTCGAGAGGAAGTGGTTGGGTTAGGCTGATCTAAGGTGCTGACCTAGACAGAGGTGACTGGGGGGACATGGAGAAGAGAGGCCAAACCCACAGGAACTGGCCACAAGGATGACCTTGGCCTGCAGAGCTGAAGGGACAGATAGATGGATGGTGGTGACATTTCTGAGACCCAGGACCGGGGAAAGCTGGGTTCCAGGGAGGAATGTCTGGAGTTTGGCTTCAGACTGTGGCTGTGTGTGCCTCTGGGTGCCAGGAGGAGACACAGCCATCTGTGGAGCTGAGTCTCTGAGCCCAGGGTGACTGCTGGAGCTGTGGAGAAGCGATGGAGACCCGGGAAGGGGCAGCCACTGTGGGGAGTGCAGGGTGAAGGTGACTCAAGGCAGAGCCTGCAGCCTGTCCTGAGAGGCCTCCACAGAAGGCTGGCGGGGCCATGCCCTGGCAGAGGGAAGCCACAGGAGGGGGCAAACATGAAGTTCAGTGTAGGATTTGTTCATTAGGCAACATGAGGTAGCCACCAGGACAGGTGAGACTGAAGAACAAGAGGATGCTCTGGCTGGGGAGGGACCAAAGGGCATCGTAAACACAAGGAGGACATCGAGATGGGGGGCACGTCGGTATGCGGCCCTGAGGACTGAAAATGAGCAGGTGGGGTCCAGGGACACCAGGTTCAGATGGTCAGAAAAGGGCAGAAAAGGGACCAGCAAAGGCGCATTGGCCAGGACAAGGGAGGCCGAGGACACACATGGTCACAGAGCTGAGCGAGAGGGTGTTGGGGGCAGCACTGTCCTGAGGATGGGGAGTCATGCTGGGTACCAGCATTGCAGGGTCACCGCCCCCTAAGGAGCCATCTGAGTGGAGCTGGGATCCTGAATGGGACTCAGAACAGGGTGTCACTGGCAGGCAGGCTTCACTACGAGGAATCAGAAAGGCCTGGGGGAGGGGGGGGCAGGGAGGTGAGTGTTGGAGGAGTTATTTTGACATGGAAATAGCAGCTCTTTGTGTATTAAGGGGTGACCTGTGGGTGGGACACTATTGGGGGGCACGAGTGAGGACCGGTGCAAGGATTTTAACCTCAAGGCTCCCAGAGGAGCTGGGAGACAAGTCCAAAACCCCGAGGGGCTCTCTGTAGAGCCTGAGGCGGGTGTCATGGCTTGGGCACTCGGAGAAAATTCCCCCAAATGCAGCTGGAGTAGCTGGTGTCATGAGTCCCACAGGCCCGGGGACACTAGGACATGGGGAGGCCAGGGCAGGTTTGTGACAGGCACTTTTGCTACTTTTTGTTCACAGAACCTGTAGCTCCACCTTACCCTCTGCCTCAGCCTCATCCTAACACCAGGGATGTTGGTGGCAGCCTCCCCAACAGAGGCAGTGCGCAGGGAGCCCGTCAGCTCAGTGGCACAGCAGGATGGCATCTGCTTCCTACTGGATCAGTCCCAGGGCTCAGTCACAAGCTCACCTTGTGACAGTGCTTGCAAGGCTGCAGGAACTTGCACAAACACACCACACGGCCTTGGGAAACAGGCTCACAGGCATCTCCAGGAAGAGAAAAAACAACTGCAGGCCAGGGCACTAGCGGCTCCTCACCATGCTCCAAGCTCAGCACGTGACCTGGAGCCAGGCTTGGGACAGAGGCACAGGGAGCCAGCCCTGGCCCCTGGTGCTTTGCGCCCCATAAGTCCCTGAGAGCAGCTCAACCCAGACCCGTGGAAACCCAGAGAAGCCCTGGCAGCCTGTATAGATGGTGCCTGGAGCCCAGGTGCCCTTTAGTTGGAGTTCAGGAACCTGAAGTGCTCCCTCAGTGCCCATCAATGCATGACAAAGGACACCAGCTATCCAGAGACCAGCTGTGCCAGTGGCTGGGGAGGTCAGCAGTACGGTCAAGGCCAGGCTTGACAGTGGCTTCCAACCTGGCATGTGACGTTATCAGTGCATCTGGAGCCGAGGACAGGGACAGAGACTGTGGGCAGACAGGTCTTCTGAGACATGCTTCGGGAGGTACAGCCCAGAGCTGCTAAGGGGGACCCAGCACCCAGCATCCAGCTACATCATTTCAGTGTGGGGAGTGGTTGGTCCCCGGACTCAGCACTAAAAAGGCTCCGAGTAGGAGCAGGAGCAGCTGAGATGCTTCCTCAGAGTCTGTCACTAGCATCCTCTCCCAGGACACCGTGGGCTAAGCTGGGGGCTGCCAGCCGGACTCAGATAGCATGGGTTTCCAGTCCCGCCTGGGCATCTGAGGGCCATGAGTTTTGGGATGAGTAACTGTGCCTCTTCGGCTGGTTTTGCCTTATCTGAAAGAGGAATGACAGAGTCCACAGCTTCATACAGACGCGAGCCGTAAGTGAGCGAATGCACGTGTGTGTCAAACACAGACCTCACGTGGGTACTCTGGAGCCGTCTGTGCTGGGTTGCGGGTGGGAAGCCACAACGGCTGCATGGAAGTGCATTCATTTGCTGCATCTGGATGCCCAGGGTAGAGGCACCCAGGCCCCGGGGGCGATGCCAGCCAGACCTTCCACTTCCCCCAGCCATCCCCATGGGTTCCCTGAAGCTTGACCACTGTGCCCCAGCCCCTCCCCTCTCAGACGTCCCTACAGTCTTCCTCCTTGGAATCCTCCAGCGCCTGCCAGTAGACACGTAGATCCTGAGACTTGATGAAGTGGCAGGCCACCAGCTTCCTGAAGCGGCAGGCGGAGAAGCTCAGCCCCCCGGGGAAGAAGGTCTGCTGGGAGTGCAGCTCCTCCGGCTGGATCCCCAGTTTGGCCAGGCAGAGCCCCACAAACACGTCTTCCAGCTTGATGAACGGGACGCTCTCGGAGATGTTGTACACCTGACTGGCCACGTCGCTGGAGAAGACGTAGGCAGTGCCGGAGCAGAAGGGTGGGTACTTGCTCCAGGGATACTCAAACTGACTGACGTACCACTTACTGAACTTGTTCCTGATCGGAAGGTCCTTGGGCTTCAAGTAGCCCGTGAAAAACCCCACCGTTCTGTTTTTCTTCAGCAGGAGCTCGGTCAGATACTTCACGTTTATAAACATATCCGTGTCTGTTTTCATCACGAAAGCCACCTGAGGGCAGAAGCGGTGGATCCATTCCATGCCCATCATGGTCTTCAAGGTCAGGTTGAAGTAGACGTCCTTGAAGTCCTTCTGGATGATGTCCCCATGCTGCCGGTTCTCCTGGGCCACCGCCATCATCTCGTCCTCACTGGCCGTGGTCCCCAGGAGGAAGAACGTTCTTACCTGTTTTCCTCTCACCTCCTGCTCACGGCCCCATGTCTCCCGGATGGCCGTGCGAGCCATCATCTGCTGAGGGGCGGATGTCACCAGCAGAAGGAGGAAGGGGGGATTCTGCCTGCAGTTGATATTTGGGAGCTGGAGGAATTGCCCAGAGTTTTTCTTAAAAATAAAGGGCCCTCCTTTAAAAGGATCCAGGTTGAAGCACACATACAGCACCACCGTCAGCAGGCAAACATACAGGAGCCTCTTCGTTGGCAAAGCCATCTGGAAGGAACATGACAGGAGGATCAGCCCATTAACACAAGGGCGTAGGCTGGGCAGAAGCAGGCACAGTTCGGGAGGAGGGATGAGCTCTGGGGTTCCACAGCAGAGCTGGGAGACCTCGGTCTACAACAATTCACCTGTGTTTTATAAAGAGCTGGAAGAGGGGACTTAGAAGGCTCCTGATTGCAAGGGAATGAAAGATTAGGGAGACAGAAATGCTAACCTCCCCGTGAAGTCCGATGATCTTTCTGTACCTCATGAAATATATGATTAAAAAATGAAATCAGTGGCAGGGACGTAGCTCAGTGGCACAAGCACCTGCCTGGCAAGTTCAAGGCCCTGAGTTCAATCCCTGGCACAAAAAGGGGGGGGGGGGCTCAAAAAAACAAGTCATTGTTTAAAGCACGAGTGTTTGCTGTGTGTGACCAAGTGTAGAAGTCTGTACTCACTACTTACTGGAGGGAAGGGCCGTGGCTGAGCTTGGATCACATGCAGAGAGTTGGACCCACCTTGGGCCCTGGGGTCCAACAGGGAGCACTGGGGTTTGAGCCCTGGTCCTGGCTCTGTGTCCAGCAGCCCCCAACCTGTGGGATTCCAGGTAACTTGTGCACACGTGCATGGGACCAGGTCCCTCGGGAGCACCTTGGGGCTAGGATAAGGTACAGGCAGGCAACCAGGAAAACTAGAAGCTACATGGTCTGAAAACAATCATGGGCTCCAGGATCAGGCTTCCCTGATGTAGTCAACGGCTCCCCAAAGAAGGAAGTCAGTTTTCTGATTTGCACAGCCACCTTGGAATCTCACCCTACTAAAGACTATGATTTATACTTCAGGTTGCTTTGAAAGGTCTTCTAACTTATTTTGTTTTGCCTTCCACTCACCCACCTCTGCTATTTGGGGCAACGCAGAACCACCCATGGTAATGCTGTAACAGTAAGAAAGCAAGCAACTCACTTCTGTGTGGGTTAGAGACCCTCTGGTTGGTAACCTCAGTCACAGCTCAGATGCTAAGAGGTCTCCGGGGCCGAACAGCCATCAGCATTCCATATCGTCAGGTTCGGGCTTGTTTGTTGGTCAGAAATGATGATTCTGTCTCTCAGGAATCACTAAGAGAAAAAGACTTGTGTTCAAATCACTCATCTCTGACTTCCAGGTTCTCCCAGTCCTGTGTGTCTGTTGTGCTGCTTTCCTGTGTCACCTTGAGCAAGCACCTGAGCCCCACTCCCAAGGTCACCTTTCTCATCTGGAAAATGGGTACAATCAAGGCAGACTGAGACTACCACATGACTCACCTGTCCGTGGAGTAACAATACACAAGCACCTGGGAATCCCTTCAGGCCTAATGGTTAGGACGGCCCTTCCAAGCTCTCTAAGAAGATACTTATAGTCCAACTTCTCATCCTAATAATTTATTACATCTAAGCCATAGAGTGTGTGGCCTCAAGAGTACAGCACAGAGAAATCTGCCAACTCCCAATGCAATGTCAGCACTTAAAAACACCTCCTTGGGACGAGGCCAGAGGAGCCAGCAGGAAAGCAAACAGATGGAGTAAAATGATGGGCACTATTTGGGCACAAGAGTACCTCAACTCTTCATGAAGTCAAAATTCTGCTCCAAGCATGCTCAGCATGAAGGAAATGCAGTAATCACAGAGCCTTCTAGAAGCAGCTCACTGTTTACCAGTCCTCACCCTGATGGCAGACGCAGCCAAGCTCCTGTCCTGCTCAGGGCCCGGGGAGTTCCTGGCTAGCCGGAGCCCACTGCAAAGGTGCACAGTCCGTTGCCCTGGGCCCCCGAGACTGAGAACGCAACTCCTTTCTCTCTTTGGATCTGCCTACACGGCCAGCAGCTGCAGCTTCCGGGGGACATGGGGAGTCCTACACTCCCCGCCCCTTGACATTTCAGAGACAAACACAAAACACCAGTGCAAGACAAGATGGTATTTTTCTATTTTGCTTCCTTTCCTGGGTAATCTGGCTCGACTTCGACAGCTGCTGTAACAGCAAACTTCCCATTTTCCCTTCCTGCCTTCTCCACGGCCTCCTCACAGACCTGACACCCCCACCAACCACACAGAAGGGCACCTTGCCCCATAACCTCTCCTGCATGTGTAGCTTTTCTGAATCCTTGATTATGGTCAAACTTACAGGAGTAAGATAGAATCTTAGTGCTGTTTTGATTTTCATTTCTCTAGTGGCTAAGTAAGCTAACATTTTTCATGTCCTTATCAGCCATGTGTCTTTTTTTTCTCTTTAATTATCCATTTTCTAAGTGGGTCTCTTGCTTTGGGGCATCTAATTTTACGGAAAACAACACAGAGTTTCCTTAAAAAAAAAAAACCCTAAAAATAAAAATTCTACTTGACTCACTGAGTCATATGGTAATCTCAGTCTGCCTTGATTATACCCATTTTCCAGATAAGAAAAGTGACCTTGGGAGTAGGACTCAGGGGCTTGCGCACGGGCTTGACTATACTTCTCCTGCATATCTTCCCAAAAGAGCTAAAGACATCATATTACATACGGAGATCCACACAGATCCACATTTGCTGCCGCACAGCTCAGAATAGCCAGATTCATAAAGCCTGCATGACCGTCAGCAGAAGGGAGAAAGAAAATGTGGTGTTTACTCATGATGGAGTACTACTCTGCCATAAAGAAAGATAGCCATTTGCGGGACAGTGGATCTCAGGATTATAACGGTTAAGCACAATACATCAGACACAGAAGGTTAGATGTCACATGGTTTCTCTTCTATGAGAAACCCAAACTGTAAAGAATTTAAAGAGCAAAGTAAAGGAGAAGGGGAAAGAAGAAAGGGGAAGAAGAGGAAAGAGAAAGTCCTTTGCAAGGGACACAAGAGTCCTTTACTACAGGAAAGGTTGTGAGGAAGGAGGAAAGATGGCTCCCCGGGGAAACAGGATAAATAGCGAATGTAGGAAGAGTCCCTGGCGCAGGCCGAGATCCAGTGCCCTCTGATGGACAAGTGTCTGCCTGTGCCCCTGCACAGCAAGGGACACCGAAATCAACCTTGTAGAACCTGCCTGCCCTGTGCCTGCCGTCCGTGTAGCCAGGACAGCTGCCGGGGTGGTGCTGCAGGGGTGCTCCCAAGTCACTGGAGTGATTTCCGCAGGCGCTGCTGGAACACTGTGGGTGCCTGCCGGGCCAGCACCCTGACCACAAAGGAAACCCCCCCACCCACACACACCGCTCTCCAGCACCCTCTCGGAGGAGCTCCAGGGCTGCCCTGCAGAGGAAAACCATGCAAAGGGCGCAAATCCATTTTCTCAGAGTCGTCCAAAAGAGTGATTCTGGAGCTGAGCAGCAGTGGACAGACAAACAGCATGGCTGCGGTCAAGAAACTCCCAACCCGGCACAGCGGAGGCTGAGGCAGGAGGATCATTAGTTTGAGGTGGGGATGCAGCTCAGTACAAAGGCCCTGAGATCAATCCCCAGTACAGAAAGAAAGGCCAGAGGAGAAAGAGAGAAAAATGAGAAAGGAAAGAAGGGAGGAAGGGAAGAGGGAGGAAGAAAGAAGGGAAGGAAGGATGGGCAGAAGGAAAAGAAAATTTCTATCAACAGCAGGATGCATGAATGAAATGCTACAAAGCCATAGAAACATGAACAACTGACGTGCACTCTGTACAAACCCGACAGACGTGAAGCTGAGCAGCCCAGCACAGGAAGGAGAATGCACGCTTGGTTTGATTTCCATGAAGTCAGAACCAGGTGACACAGTGACAAAGGAAGTCAGGGCAGCAGTCACCTGGGAGGGGGGATTTTCACTCTGAGGGCTGAGGGACCCTTCCGCACAGCTGCAGGCACCGCACCCTGGGTCTCGAGGATGGATATGGACACTAAAATTCCTCGAGTCACACAGCTAAAACCTGTGCACTTTGATATCTATTTTTTCATTCATTTTAATTAAAGTCTAAAAAATTGATCTCTTTATAAGAACTGCACAAATTCATTCAGCTGCAAACCTGATTCGTTCACTGTGCATCTCACGGACCAGCTGTCAAGGCACAGGCTCCGCAGGCCAAGCCCCAGGTTTGTTCTTCCCGCCCACTCGAGGCCCGAGGGCTGCTCGGAGACACCCGGTGTTCCGGACGGACGGAAGGCATGATCTTTAACCGCACCGCTCGTTCTGTGTGATGCTTCTTACACGATATTTCCTCTATCGCCAGATCAGTCAGATTTGTCAAAGTGACTCCAGTTCCCACCCTAACTGGGCTTCCGAGTGGGCAGTGTGAAGAGTAGCTCGCTCTCTCCTTGGCCTCCAACACCCTGGCAAGGCTCCATGCCAGCTGGGCACTGCCACCCCGCGCCTGTGCCCTCCTCCACGGGTGACAGGAACATGTCTCCCCTGGAGCCTCTCTCCTGCTGGCAGCTCACATCCCCGGCCTCCCTGATAGCGGGATAGCACTGTGTGGGGGCCAATGATTTCCTCTTCCCTGGACCTCCCATGGCTTCTTGAGGGAAGTTCTTCCCAAAGCCAGTTAAGGGGAACCTCAAGCTTCCTAAATCATCCTTGAATTGTGGGTCTTTTTATTTTCCAGTTCTGGTGGTTGAACCCTGAGCTATAGTGGCTGGAGGCAGGGTGGCCTTTTTTAAAAACCCTGGCCTCTTAAAAAAAATTTTTTTTTTTTGCTTTGAAACAAAGTCTTACTAAGTCACTAAGCTGCCCAGGCTGGGCTCAAATTTGAAATCCTCAGCCTCAGCCTCCCAGAGTACTGAGATTACAGATGTGCACCATCATACCTGGCTCACAGGGCCTTTTAACACGTAATAGTGAAGTCTTTGAACTCCTTCCCCAAACCATGCTTTTACATGCACAGAGCAAAATACAGGATCACAAAGGAAATAGATTATTGGAATCTATTGAACACATTACTTTCAAAAGTGCAGCAAATATTCCATGCCCATCTCATCTGCATTCCTGAGCATAACAATGATTTCCAGCTCTGGGTCTAACAGAAACAGCCCACATTCAGGGACATCCACCAGCTACCATGAGGCCATGCAAAGATGCAAAGATGTGGGGGTTTCTTGCAGTGACCAAGTGACAGACTCCACTGCTTTGGGTCTGTGCCTTCTGAGTCACGGCATCTTGCTCCCCTCCAAGCCACACGCCTAGTCTAACTCCCAAGACCAGAGTGTGGTCTTACTGGGGATGGGGCCCCTGCCAAGGCACAGCAAAGCCATTGCGATAGTCCCTCACTGGATACAAGAGGGACACAGTCTTTCCCACAGACAGAGCACTCGGGAGGGAGAAGGCAGAGGCAGGGCCGTGTGTCTGCAAGCCAGGGGACCCAATAGTCACCCAAGACCCCAAGAAAGCAGGGAGGCCCGGGACCAGATGGTCCCTCCCAGACTCAGAAACGCCCTCCCTGCCCGGGCTTGGTCTTGTGGTCTCCAGAGCCACATCACAAAGCATTCTTATGGCTTCAGCTGCTCAGCCATGGGCACTTGGTTTAGTGTAGTTCCAGGGCAGTGCTCAGCCCCATAGTCATAGGCAAAGAACACGCAGAACTGTCAGATGCCTGTGAACAGAAGGACGGCACGTTTTCCCCATCCACGGAGTCAGATCGGGGCTCGAGGTCCTCTGCAGCCAGCCCGGGACAGGATGGAGGTACTGGCATTCTCTGAGCTGAGTGACAGCCACAGGTTGCTGCCCTGAAGGTCGTTACTGTGGATCTGGGAGGCAACCCCACCTCCAGCCACTGTAGGGAGACTCCATTTTTAAGGAACTTTGTCTTCTGCTTTGGTGGATCTCAAGCAAGGGGTCAGGAATTAGGGCTGAGGCAGAGTATATGAGTGTCAAACAATACACCTGTTTCTTAGTTTTATGAGAAATGGCAAGAGCGGCTGATTTAAAACATTTTCTACTTTAGTAAAATCAGTCACCACCTCTGCTTTGACCTCAAGCCCCACAGCTGCTGTGTGTCCTAGGTTCTGGGGACACTGTGGTCCCCACCGGCCGGGCACTGGCATCTGCACAGAGCTCCCAGAGGGCATCTTCGGCAGCATGGGGTGGGGGAGCCCCTTACCCAACCCTGTTCACCTGGCCCCTCCCACCAGCCGTCCCTGCCCTGCCCCTGCCCCG